TTAAAGTGTGAATGAGTGAATTAATATTTTGTTTAAACTATGAATATTGTATTTTGAATTGTGAATGTCTTAGAAATGTTCATTTTTAAAGAGATCTACAATTTAAGAGAAAGAAAATGAATTTGTCAAGATATAGTTCTATTTCATTTATTAAATTTTTGTAAATTTAATTATAAATATGGTCTTTTTAAATGAGACACTACTAGAAAAACATCCTTTTACGACGCGCAATGCGTGTCGTAAAACGCTCAGACGACGCGCAAATGCGTGTCAAGGAAGGCCCTGTCATAACGAGAGACGACACACATTACGACGCGCAGTTACGACACGCATTTACGATGCTCATTTACGACACACAATGCATATCAAGGAAGGCCCTGTCATAAAGGAAGACGACACGCATTTGTGTGTCGTAACCTTACGACTCGCATTGCGTATCATTAAAGCCCCTGTCAAGAAAAGGTCATGTCATAAATGAATATGACACACCTTTTTGCGTATCGTAATTTTAAATGTTTAAAAAAAATATTATTTATAGATTTACTAATTTTCAAATTAAATTTGCATTTAATGTCTCATAATAGAAAATAAAATATCATATGCAAAAAATACAATCCATTACATAAAATTTAATGTCATACAAATAATCGTTCCATGGAAAGATAAAACAAATCAATAGAAGTTGTAACGAAATTTACAAACTAAAGTTCTAATAACCTAATGTGTGCCTCACTGTAAACAAGATTTGTGCTGATTTTTTTAAAACCCTTGTCATCAAATGCTTCCTTGGCTACAATAGCTGTCTGAACATCTGAAATTTATAATTTTTTTTTAACATTTTACAAAATTATATTATATATAATAAGCTTCTCAACACTTGTTATCAAAAAAATTAATTAACTCTCACCAAGGTATTGAATTAGAGCTTGAACTCCACCATTTTTGTCAAACATTGCTATCTTTAAAACATGCCCAAAAGCAGAAACCTGTTTACAACAAAGTGAGAGAAAGAGAGATTAAAAATGACACATGGTCAAATATGAAAAAACCTTACAGTCAGAAAGGTCAAGTTCTTGAATTGATTTTGTTAGATACTTCCCCTTGATGGCCGAACTATTCTTTTCCATTTCATCTCCATCAGAATTTCCATCTTTACCCCGTCATTACGCTTTATTACTCCAGGTAAATGTCCATCACTCCATAAAGATTCTGCCAAAGCTAGTCAAAGTCATGCTAGAGAGTCATGAAAAAAAAAATTTAACATCCTACATTACTGAGGAAATAACATGGAGGGGCATTTAGGTAAATCGTCATTGGGATTAGATATATGTAATTATATGTAAACTTGCTCATGGGGAAGAGCTATCTGCATATATATATATATTATATATATATATATTATTATATATCTATATATATATATATATCTATATATATATATTATTAGATGAAGATTTAGATTCTATAGGCATGAATGTAAATAAGAACTTATGTGTACAATTACTTGTCTTTTCACTGCGATCTATAAACTCATTGACTTTTTCCACAAGATCCGGATATGCTCCAAGCAAACTATTTACCTAACAAAAATAAAATTTTCTTTAATTTATCAAATTAAATCTATGGATACCACACAAAAAGTCATCTAGAAGTTTTATGATACACAAACAACGAATGCAGATAACTAGCAATAAAGCAGGAAGCAGATACTAGAACAAAAAAGAATAAATCTTTAAATAATGTGTATTGTGTATCTAAGTTTACCCTTGATTGTAGTTGTGGCCGAGTAATACTCTTGTGCAATACTCTGCAATGCACTTCAAAATGACTAGTAATCATCTGAGTTGCTCAATCTTTCCTTCACCTTCTCACGAAGACAAAGCATTTGGCCATGTACATCTTCCAACATACAAAGGTTCAATAAGGTCATGAAATTAATTGTTCAAAAGAATGCAATACCTTTATAACAACAGCCAGATGGGACTAGTAGATACCTTGATGAAAGAGTTCAGACAGAGTCTTCAAGAGTACGTGGGGGTTTATTTTGGGAAAAATGATGTGTCACATCACAATATTTATCATCTTGATCATGTTCTCTTTGTTCCGAGTCTTCTGATGTGTCTTTTTCTTTCTCACCATGTTCCCTAATCTCTTTATCAGGTATAGTACATGCTTTTTCATGATCTGGATCAGGCTGGTCAACGTTGACTTTGCATTCAGTGTGAGGTACTGGGAGTGGGTTTTTCTGGGATTTTGTTGCTGTTACAGGGACACGGTAAGGGAACATATCATCAGGTAACCGGATAGGGGCCAACACGGAAGGAACTTCACGTGGATCATTTGAATGAATAGCAGTGCTAATCAAGCTGGGGCTCGGCTTGGGTGCAGACATACCTCCATCCATTGACAGTGAAGATGAACATGAAATTGGACTACAATGAATAAAGATGATGTATTGAGAAAAAGTGCAACAACCATAGAAAAGAACAATTGCAAAATATGGGGCTTAGATGCCTGATATAGCTTCACTGTAAGTTTGTTTAAACTTTAAACAACAAAAGGTAAATGATAATCATTCATTAATATACTTCTGAACATCTTCATCTAAAAAATTCATTCCAAGATTAATTGGCTGCTAACTTTTCCAACCTTGAATTGAACTAGATTTGTCAAATATTCTTGAACGTCATATATGATTAGGATATTGTGGAAATAACAAATAAATCAGATTGAAAAAGAAAAAAAAACATGACAAAATTGCAAGAATGGTCCTTGTGGTATGTCAAAACTAGCAACTTTGGTCCAAAATGGGTTTGGCTCGCAAGGATGGTCCAATAGTTTCGTTTTGTTGCGAGTTTAGTCCAAAAATTTTAAAACTTTTTATAATGACGAATTTGCCCTTGGTATATTTCACTTTTTCAATTTTTTTATTACAGAAATCAAAAAAAAAAATCTCTCTCTCTCTCTCTCTCTCTCTCTCTCCTCTCTATCTCTCTCTCTCTCTCTCGTTAGTATCTCATCAGAAAAAAACTCCCTCCTCCTTCTTCTCCATCGTCGGAGAAGGGCAACACCTCCCCTCGTTTTGCAACAGCCCAACCTCCCACCACAGCCGATGTCATCAGAATCCCTTCCTCAACCTCCCTTTCATCTCCAACTCGTCTATCTCCCTCGTTTCTCACTTCTTCGGCGAAGAGAGCCACCACAGTCGACTGTGGCAGCTCCTCCTCCTCCCCCTGTCGTGACCCACCACCATCCAACATCCCAAATCCAAATCCACAATGGGTGTTCTTCGTTCTTAATTTTGGATCTGAAATAAAACCCAAATCCAAAAGTTGAAGGTAGGTATGTTCTTGGTTCCAAATTTGAAACGAAGATGAAGAAGGGTAGATCTGAAACAAAATCCACACACAAAACCTTACCTGAAACGAAAACTCACCATCGATTCGAACGAAAGGCAGATAGGAACCTTCAACAGTGAAACTCGAAGGGATGGGGCAAAAAAGAAACAATCGACATTTGGAGGATGTCTTAGTGGATCCGAATGACAGGAAAAGGAGGAAAACGGAAGCAAGAGAAGAGGTGGGGTTGTTGGGCAGTGATGAATCGGAAAAGCACCACCGGAGCTCAACTGTCTCGAAGAAAGAAGAAGAGTAGGGAATGAGGGGGTTGTCGTCTCTCGTTCTTTTATCAGAAAAATAATAAAAACACACACAATTGAGAGTGTGTTCATTACAGAAAACGAAGAAGAAGGACAACATATATAAACATCGATCCAAGGGACTATTTGACTGGTTTGTTTGTCAGAAAAGGAAACACGAAAATGGGGTTGATGGCCATTTAAATACAACATATAAGGAGGGGGTTGTCGTCGATGAAGGCATCAACAACAAGTATCGGGGTGCTTGGGGTCTGCTAGTTGTCGAGGGTGGAAACAGGGTAGTAGCCTCGGCTGTTTGCCTTCGTTTTTTTTTTGTTATCAGGTGAGAAAAAAGAGAGAGAGAGAGAGAGAGAGAGAGAGAGAGAGAGAGATTTTATTTTTGTTTTGTTTTTAATTGTTTTTTAATTGTTGTAATAAAAGAAAATTGGAAAATAAATAATAAGGGGCAAATCCGTCATTATAAAAAAGTTCATTGGAAATTGGACTAAACTCGCAACAAAACGAAACTATTGGGCCATCCTTGCGAGCCAAACCCATTTTGGACCAAAATTACTAGTTTTGACATACCATAGGGACCATTCTTGCAATTTTGTCAAAAAACATTATGTTCTTCAGATTATAACCAAATCAGATTACTATAATATAAGCAAATTATAGCAAAAGCTAAAAACAAAAAACAAAAAACAAAAAACACATTATGCCCAAATCAGACGGAGGCGATACCAGCAAACAAGAAATAAGCAACACTTAAACTATATCATTTTATCAAAGAAAAGCTACCCTTTAACCCACCTTGTAAGTTTTGCAATCTGTTCTTCCGGAACATTGAATTTAATAAGCACCTCTCTTGCAGCATCCATGCTTAATCTATGAACATCAGCATCATTTCTAGTGACTGTAGATCCTCCTCTATTTATAGCAACTTTTTTCTTTGCAATGACATTTGAAACTGGAGCCTTGGGAGCAGTTCGAACATAGCTAAATCTTAATCATCTACCAGATGGATCACCAACACCAGTAATCTCCAATCTTTCAATATTTCCTCTATCCTGAACAACAATATTTAAGACTTCAAACCAATAAATCATATCCAGTTAAGTATTAAGTCCCTGTTTGTTTTTTTTTACCTGATTTGTACAAGCAACAAAGTTGTTGCTTAAATTCCAGGGAGTTCTTTGTAATTCTCTCTCGATGTAGGAAGCAGCAGCTAAAGCTATTACTTTATCAGGGTGCTGATTCATTGCAGAGGAGAGACCAGATGGATGAGTCATGCTGATTCCTAGACGGTTAAGTCTGCACATTCCAGCTAGCATGCTTTCAAAAGCACATACCTAACACACAAAAAGAAATAAGATAAAAGAAAAGGAAGATAAAGATAAAGATTAAAGAAAAGTGAAAACATACATTTTCTGGTGTCACGTTCTTCTAAGCTCCTCTCTCTAATGGAATACGAAAATTTCGCTTCATAACCCTGACCCCCTCTGGTGATTGGTTCCATAAATATAAAACAAACTGTTAATATATTGGTATTATGGGTTAAAACGTAAGGTAATGAGTAAAATTTACCTGAAAATCACACAGAATAACTTTCACCTCTTTCTTAAAGAATTTCTTCAGCTACATTTGCAAACTGTGTAGATAACTCATTGGCCCCGAATGGCAGGTGTCAAGCCAACGTTGTTGAAGTTGGACGACACGAAAACCACGATACATGAACACCATAAGCCTATTCATATTATACATCTGAACACCTTTTGATACAGGGGACATCACCTCCATGTGAGGCTCCTATTTACATTACACATTTTAAATAAATATATAGATGGAAAAAAACGAAGGAAAGATATAGGTCAAACCTGTTGAGCAACAACGTAAATCCGGTCAATGCGTCTTAATGAGAGCTTTCCCTTTGAAGAGCGAATGAGTAAATAGTCAGTGGATGAGAGTTTATGTGGATATATTGGAGCTATGTACATATTTGTTGAAAGAATTCATGGGTACCATTGTTCCTTAAGGGAATCTGACCTCTAGGGCCTGCTCTTCGAATAGAATATCAAAAGGATCAAGTTTGGGTTTCCTACTAAATTAGAAAACTAAATCAACAACAGAAATACATTGTTGGATAAACTGCTTCCCACCAAAGAACTCAGTGTAACCTTGAGAGGAGTGAAAATGAAGTGGTGAGAGAAAAATGTAAAATCATAAGCAACACAAGACGAAGCCAACACAAAAGATTCATAATTTAATTAGAGAAAATATATGAAGTAGCCAACAAGTCGATTTAATTACCTGTTTTGCAGTCTTTCAGGAGCTTTCAATACCTTTCTTGAACCCTAAATTTCTCCAATCTCTGAATCCTACCCCAAAAATTGTTAACCAGGGTGTTTAATTCGTTAAAATCGGTTCAAATTGCTTACCAATTTATTGCTATGGGAGAGGAAGTCAGAACTACCGACTTCGATGTCAGCGGTAGAGATGACGACAATCGAGTTTCGGAGTGGGAGGTTGGGTTGCCGAACGTCGATCTGACTCAAGATGGTTGTGGAAGGCGAGGAGACCGTCGATCTGAATCAATACAGTTCCGATTCGAGGAAATTAAGGAGAGTTGATAGCGGCGGCGCTAGCGGTGGAGCTGGAGAGGAAGCTGACTCCGTTGATAGCGGCGGCGCTAGCGTTGAAAAGGATTCATTTGGTTTGGACTCCTCAACTGCACAAGCGATTTGTGGAGGTTGTTGCGCATTTAGGAGTGAAGAACGTTGTTCCTAAAACGATTATGCAGATGATGAACGTTGAAGGATTGACCAGAGAACGGCGCCAGTCATTTACAGAAGTATAGGCTTTTTGTAAAACGGATGCACGGATCATCTAACGAACAGCCATCTTCTTCCGATCCTTTGTTCGCTTCCGCTACTGTTCCAAGAGTTTTCACGATTCAGATTAGCAGATATTACATAAATTTTTGGGGTAGGATTCAGAGATTGGGATAAAAGAGAAATGATCGTTATTCTTCTTCGGTAGAAATGTTCACAATTTTGTGTGGAATGAATGTGGAAAAAAGCCCTAGTTGTGAAAAAAAGCCCTAGTTGGTTATCAGGAGGAATGAACGCGCCTTATTAAAAAAAATATAAAGCGACATTCTTACACGACACACATTTTACGAAAGGCGTCCGTGTTTTTTTTCTTTGCTATGACACTAGTTTTAGGGCACGCAAAAATGCGCGCCCTAAACACTTAAAATTTATGAAGAGCTAACATTATGTTTAGGTCACACACTTTTGCGTATCATAATCACTGCATGTCATAAATTGCGTGTCATTAAAGGCCTGTTTTCTTGTAGTGAGATTTGAAATGTTTGTTTTATTAAATTGTGCATACAACCAAAAAATGTCATTTATTTTTGCGTTAGTCCGGCTACGATAGGGCGACCTTCCGGTGGCGGTCCGACGATGTTCCAGTGGCTACAGATGGTGGCTGTTTATAAAGGAGGGAAAATGAAGAGTTTGATTTATTAAATATTAATGTTTGATTTGTCTAAAATACCTTTTTGAAAACATTTTAAAAAATGGTTCTTAAGATTCTTAACATTTTTGGGTTCTCATTTGAACTACTCCCTATATATATATATATATTATATATATAATATATATATCTATATATATATATATATATATTATATATATATTATATATTACTTATTATGCAAATTTGGTCAAATGCTGAATTTTAAGTGGTACAACCCTTAAAGCATCATATACAAAAAGTTTATACACTAAGACCTTATCTGGTCAAGGTGAATCAGTCAACAACGTTAAACCAACCTTCCCTCAATTTCAGCCATTTGAATCGGTGAAAATCAAATGAATCGGTTAAATCAAAGTTATAAAGCATCTTAGACATTTTAATCAGTTGAATTGGGATCGTCGAAGTTACATGATCAGAGGCTTTATGTAGATTACTTGACTTGCGATGAAGTTTTATTTCCCAAAATAGAGTATGGCTGCCTGCACCGGTTACTCGCCGTCGTATGTAATGGTAGAAGATGGTTTCACTAACGATTTCATCTCCGGTGAAGAGAAATCACAGAATTCAGAGCAAATAAATGAACGGGATATCGGAAAACCTCCAAGGCATCTTTCATTAGTCCGTCATAGCATGAGCACGGCGACACTCCTGACACCTACAGATCCGGTATTTAAATCATTTCTTCCCTTCAATACTTACTAGCTCATATTTCACATCTTAAATTCGTCATTCAGTTGCTTAATTAAACCCAATTTTAAGCAAATTACAAGTGTTAGAATAACTAATATTGCCCGAATCATACTTCCCTAGGACTTTAACTTTGGGATTGTTGATGGGAAATCGGAATATATGCCTATGATTCGATCAGGAAGCTATTCAGAGAAGGGGCCAAAGGAATACATGGAAGATGAACATATATGTATAGACAACCTTCTTCAACATTTAGACAAAACAGAAGGTTTTTCTTCCCTCGGAGCTTTCTATGGGGTATCCATCTTTCCAAAATCCATCTCTCTTCTTTTTTCTTCATCTGAATCTTCACCAGTTCATTCAATCAATAGGTTTTCGATGGGCATGGTGGCACAGATGTTGGATCTTATGTTAGAAAAAACATATTAAAATTCATAGTCGAAGATCCCCAGTTCCCAAGTTGTTTAAAAAAAGCAATAAGAAATGCATACATGAACGCCGATCAAGCATTTGCAGAAACAGTAGTGTTGACATTTCTTCCGGAACCACTGCATTAACCACCTTCATATTCGGAAGGTAAGCTGGTTGATTCTGAATTTTGATTATCTTCTCCTTTTCATTCTCTTCTTCATCCGGTAAAAAGAGTAATCTGAATTCTCAAACACGATGATGATTATAGGAAGATGGTGGTTGCAAACGCGGGCGATTGTCAGGCAGTTTTAGGAAAAAGGGGCAGGATTGAGCTCTCCAACGACCACAAACCAAACATTGTGACCAAAAGACACAGAATTGAAAAACTAGGTGGTGTAATATACGACGGGTATCTAAACGAGCAGCTATCGGTTGCCCGGGCACTTGGGGATTGGCATATGAAGTTCCCAAAAGGTTTCAGGGTCAGGCTGCCCGTTGAGTTCAGAACCAGAGTTACAAGAAGTTTTGTTGATGGAATAAGATGAGTTTGTGATCATGGGGTGTGATGGTTTATGGGACGTGATGAGTAGTCAATGCGCTGTAACAATTGCTAGAAAAGAATTGATGATTCATAATGATCCTGAGAGGTGTTCTAAAGAGCTTGTGAGGGAAGCGCTTAAGAGAAACATGTGTGATAATTTAACGGTTATTGTGGTCTGTTTCTCATCGGATCCGTCCCCGTGGATTGAGGTGCAACCGCAAATGGGACATAGGAGGAGTATATCTTCTGAAGGGATTAATTTTCTAAAGGGCGTTTTGGATGGTAATTCGTGAGAGAGAGAGAGAGAGGATGTGTAATTTGTGTTTATAACCTTTTTTTTTTATAAAAAATTCTATGTTGTCTGATGCTGCTAAGGTTTAATGATAGTGATTTTCAATTTGGTCACCAATCGATCCCACACCAGAAGTGTGTTTATGTTTAATATTTTTAAGTATTTGATAGCTATTGTGTTTTTCTTTTCTAATTTCACAGGTTATTGAAGACACAACATGAGTTGGAGTCTAATTCTAGGTATCGTCTCTCTCCCTTAACGTCTATATATAGTTTAGTTGTTGGTCTGCGTTCTTACACGGTGATTTAGGGGGAAAAGGATATCCATTGGAAAAGGGTAGTTGTAGCAATTATATATTCTTTATTCAATATGATGATTAAGTTTCTTATTATATTTTTCTATTTAAACATGTTGCAGAGATAAGAGAGGAATCAGAAGTAAATCAAAATGTTGATGACATCTTTTTTTTTCAATTATATTGGTTTCCATGTGAGCATTTCTTTCATTTTCTTCTTAATTTTTTTATATTTTCTTATAAAAATGTTGAAGAAAGCTGAGGTTATTGATGTTTCAAGGACCGGCCGGAACCACAAATCGATTAAAGAGAAAGGGTGAAAAAAACCTAGATTTTTATGCCTTTTACTTTCTTCCATGTTTCACGCTTTCAGGAAATGCTTCAAATCCATGAGTTCTTACTTATGATTATAAAACCCTGAATCCTAATGAAGATGTTGTTGCCATTGACAGATCTAAACTGAGGATGAACAAAATGCTGAAGAAAGTGGGTCTCAAAACTTACCCGGTGAAAAAAAATCAGAAAACGGGATCTTTCTCATTGATAATCTGGAATAAACCACCATTGTTCCTTATTCTTGGTATTTTCGAGCTCATCCATATTTAATTTTTTTTCCCCAGGTATTGCATCTCATGGTTCTCTATCTATTTTTTTTCTTCTTGATTTTGTTTACAAAAATGAAATCATAAAGGGGTACAAGTTTTTTTTTTCATTTTACAGAGGGTTTTACCTTTCAAATTCCTATGAGATGAAACATTGAACTTGGGAGTTGTTCGAAACCACATCAGTCCCGACTCACGTGATTCTAAAAAAAAAGCTAAGAAAGCTCTATAAAGAATTAAAAATTAAAAAACAAAATAAAAAAGAGAGAACATTTGTCCTTTTCTAAATCCGGTGATAGCCAAAGTAAAATACATAATGAAGAAAATGATGAAAATAGACATACATGACCCATGAAAACGGGCCAGGGTCAAGAATCAGGCTGTGGGTTTCTTCTGTACAAGAAAAGATTGCAACTTTGGAGTAAAAAATAAGATCAAGTTTGTGTTCTTCAGTTTTCTCTATAGATTGGTACCTTAAATGGGAACCAAATTAAAGTTGGACACACATACTTTTTATAAATTATTGGTATTTGGTGTGAAGATTATGAAATGCAGGAAAAAGATAAAGATTAAAAGATGGAAGACATGGTGTAATAATAGAGGTAAAGGGCAAAATGGTCTTTTTTGGTTTCCTTAATAGAATATTTCATATTTTTCTTTATTATTGGATTTGTTTATTTAGAAAGTTATGTTTGTAGGAAACATGGTAAAGGACAAAATGGTTTTTTTCGGGAATATTTCATATTTTTCTTTATTATTGGATTTGTTTATTTAGAAAGTTATGTTTGTAGGAAACATGGCAAAGGGCAAAATGGTCTTTTTTGGTTTCCTTAATAGAATATTTCATATTTTTCTTTATTATTGGATTTGTTTATTTAGAAAGTTATGTTTGTAGGAAACATGGTATGGTACAACATCGTCAAGGGGAACACTGGCTACAATTACATGGTGTGATAATTTTAGAACTCTAGAGGCAGTATGTAAGTAGAATATTTAAAGGTTCACGAAGGCTGCAAGTGTTGTTAGTGTTTAACATGTGTTCTTTGTGGAAACAACCTTCAGACACATATAATGGTAACTAAGCTTTCGAAAGTATTATAAGCAACAAGTTAATTTTCCTTTTTCTCAATGGTTAGTCACGATTAATGTATTATAAGGAGATTCGGTCGTGGCTATAGTTTAAACGTAGTAAATGCATGTTGTAGTGAATTTGCACAATATTATAAGTTTAAATATATTTTCTTTAATGTCAAACATGATGATTGATAATTGAAAACTTGAACCGAATTCTTTATTATGTAAAACATGGAATGTGACTTATCTATATCATGTATAATAATTTTTTTTTTCATTACATTCTATATTTATATCTTTTTTTAATATAATATATATATATATCTTATATATATATATATATATATATATATATATATATTGTTAAAGTCAATCAAAATAAGTTCTAAATATTTATAAAATCTAGCAAGAAAACAAGTTAGTGCCAATGCTCAATTCCACATACAAATAACCACAATCCACCGCACCAATGCAAAACCATACCATCGCACCAGTCGCTTGGCGCGGGTAAACGGCTAGTATATATCTATATATATTATATATATACTATATCTATATTATATATATATATATATATATATATATATATAGCTAGGTTATATTGTGGATGATATATTGCGTGGATGTAGGGATGAATGTGAACCAATAATTTTAGTTATTTAAAAAAAGTAATTTATCTATATTATTAAATTAAAAAAATAATATCAATTAATTAAAATAAGGGTAACATGCTACATTTGCATTACCTTCAAATTTGGAAACACAAGTTAAAAAAAAAAAATCAGATTTTAAGGGACATTTAATTTTTTTATTTTTAAAATTTTGAATTTTTTTAATTTTCTAATGGAATTTTTAGTTATAACCGTTTTTATTCTGTTAGAATGACATTCAATTAAAATAAATTGATGAACATATATCACCCTTTTAGACTACACCAAAACGGATTTTTACAATAACATTCTTTAAAAATACATATGCATATGATACACGCGGTTTTGATTTTCACAATTATGATACATATGAAGCTGCCACACAATGATTTCAGAATGTATTCTTTCTAAATGCATTCTATTATAATAAACTTCATATTCTTGTAGAATCCATAATGCAATTTGTTCTTCTAGGAGAATACATAATACACTTGATCTTCTTTGTTAATCCAAATTACATTTAAGAAATTCATTATTGCAAGCTCATTTGATTCCAACCATACAAAAATATACATAGTTGATCTTCTTTAAGAATCCTAAAGAAGTTAAAAAATCTTATAATTAGAAGATTAGAACTAAAGAATGATCTAATATACATATAAAACATTCTAACAACATACATTTATACAAATACATTCTGAATACACCATAATACATTTAAAAATTCACAATAACAAACCCATTTTAAAATACTTTTGTTTTATTTCATTTTAAATAAGCACTCCTCTTTTTAGCCTACCTTTTAAAGCTATTATAGCTTTAATATTGATCTGAGTATTCCTAATCATTGTGAACCCAACAGGGAAACTAAATTTCATACTATTTGTGTCTCATATTTATTGTCAACTTTTTGAGCTTTGAAGTCTTTATTCTTCAACTTTGACCATAAATATTGATGACTTTTTATATATAATACTTGATGCAAAATATATGAGTGGATTGTGTTTTCTATGTCTTTTCATTGTTATAAGCTTCATCAATTAATATATAACACAAATAAAAATATTTAAGGTCAAAGTTAAAGAATAAAGACTTCAAAAATCAAAAGTGGACAATAAATATAGGACAGAGGGAGTAACATATTTATATTAGTATTTGTATAATAGACTTTCAAATATAAACAAATTCAGTAAACAATAATCGTACAAACTTTTAATAACTCAGGCAATCCTTCTTCCTTACCAACACACAATAGAAATCGACCAAAATGAGTGTTGGTTATAGTTTTAAATTAGAATGGCCAAATGACGTTTAATGAGTAATTTGGTCCAAAAGAGATTAATTTTGGTAAGGCGATAAGAATTTAAAATAAAATTACCTACAACTATGGAGATGTTCTTCTATTTGTGACATTCAACTGACAAATCGATTAGTCTTTAAAATGCATTTTGATCGAGTAACAATGTAGTGGTTGGCAATGATGTTAGGTGGCGATGATTTCCAGCAATTCATTATAATCGAATTCATCTAAATCTAGCATTTACAGATAAAAAGAATAGGAAATCACTAATTAGGGTTCATCGAGTATATACAGTCGGATGTCGCCACCTTGTTTCATCAGATACAGTTGTCGACCGGGTGTAGTAACAATGGTGAATAGCGGTTATTGAAGCAGTGATGATGGTGAATAGCGACAACTAGTGGAGGACCGCCGGTGAAGAAGGTCGTTGTTGTTTTTTGGCCACCGATTGAATATGACAATTATATGGCTGAGGATGTTTAGAGGAAGAAGACGAGAAATTGATGTCGATGGTTTCTGGTGGCTAGGGTTTAAAAATAAAGTAATTTGCCTAAATTAAAGTGCGGATTATTTAATTTTTTTTATTTATTAAAATTAACTAATATTTAAAATTACTTTTTTTTACCTTTATTCATGTTTTTGAAATGATCGACCTACATTGATCCCTACATCCACACAATAGATATCTAGAACACATGAACCTAGCTATATATATAGGGTGGGGTTCAATAGAAAATCATTATTAACAAGGAACCAATGAATCAATCGTTAGCATCGAAATTTAAAGCGATCAACGGCCAAGTGAATGGATGTACACTTGTACGGTGGACGCACATACACCAGAGTATACCATAAAACCCACATCTTTAAAAAAAATCCACCTTTTTTTTGTTTAAATTTTTTTAAGCCACGTTTTTATCGAAAAAACGGAATATAACGTTGTTCACGATTTTTCGTTCTATTTTCATAGAGATCCATGTTAATATATTTTCGAAAAAAAACCCACTATGTTTTATTGTTTTTTCAATATTTAAGTTTATTATTACAAAAAAAAACCAATTATACCAAAAATCTCAATTTTTTATCATCTATTAATAAACATCATCAACGATTAAAAAAAAAGAACTCGATTAGTTTAGATTCACATTGTGATTCTAAACTGTAAATATTTCAATTTTAACATTCACAATGTAAATCTGACTTACTATTATTCATATTGTAAATCTGCTCAGATTCACAATGTGAATTTGTACTGAAATTTCGTTGTTTTTTTACATAAATATGAAT